GGAATGTACTGAGGCAGCCCTGGGTCGGACAGCGGCCTCACTTCTTGGTTTTTCCCTGCTTGTTTTATGCGTGAACTCCGGATGTGCCCTATGCCAGGCTATTAACTATGCCTAAAATAACCCCACACAGTTTTAAGGTCAAATCCAGCAAATTCTCAAACAAATCAGGGTTCTGGAATCTCATCTCTTATAAATCTACTTGTAAATCTGCTTACAGGGAACGATACGCGTATTTCCACATCAGAGAGGTTACGCGGCCACATAGTCTAATCAGCTAACAGGGAAATGAAGAAATAACTTACAAACTTGCAACGTTTTTACGTAAGTTTTCTTCTCTTAACCTGATGTGAAGCTAATTGACATCTAAGTATCACTGAACAATGACCTCCCAGTGCATGACAAGGTGGCACTAACTGCTATTCGTGTTTGTTTCAATTCCACAGTTCTCCATAAAAATGGACCGTATAATACTTAAAAGAAAAAAAAAAAGTTTATTTCTAACCTTTGATAATAAAGTAAGATACAATCACATAAATGTACAGCTTCAAGAATTAAGGTGACTTCCTTCTAACTACTGCCCAGGTCAAGAAACAACTGTCAGCCACCCGAGAACCCCTCCAAGTACCAGTTCACAGTGACAACCCGTTCCCCCCCCAGCGTGGCCACTCTCACAGTGCCTTCGCTGTTTCTTTCGCTTTTACTCTAGAAGTGTGCAACTCTGTTCACTACGGTTTCATCCACTGCCGAAAAAATGTCACGTCTCTTAAGCCTGTCAGACATGCGCTGACCGCTGTCAGTCACTCCCGGGAGGGGCCTGGGGGACTCCTCCAGTCAGAGTCTGCGCTGCTTTCTCTGTGGACGTTTTTGCTCGATTCCCAGAGTTCTTTCAGTATTTTCTTTTTCTCTAGGGTTTCCTTTGCTCTTTTTTTCCTTTCTTGCTTTTTCTTCTCTGCTTCTCGTTTTTCTTTGTAAATAAGACTGTTCTCGCCGTTGTAGAAAACGTCCACTTTCTCCTGTAGGATTTTCCGGGCTAGCTTTCTGTTCTGGTCGACGGACCTCGTCTGATGGCACTGTGAGAGAGAATATTCTACAGTGTGAAATCGGGACAGGACCTCGGGGACCGTATAACAACTTAGTCACTCTACAGGTGGGGACGGGCCCGAGAGGCAAAGCCACTTGTCCAGAACCCGTGAGTCAGTGACAGAATGAAGGCCAGACCCTTTCCTGCCTCTGCCCGGCGCCATCCCACACTCCAGCTGTATTACGTGGCTTTCACTGACTGTTTCACAGGGATGTTGTTTTGTTTACAAGCAACGGTAGCCTTCGAATAAGTTAAAGTCTCAAAAAGTATTTTGAAAACAACCGGTATGTCTAGCGAGGCACTTCGCACCATTTATAAACGTGAAAGTGCCAGAGAGGGAAGCAGCATGTCCTTCTGTCAGCCGCAGACAGCAGTTGCTGTGGAGTACCTCGGCATGACAGGCCAGTGCCCTGCAAAGCTCGTCGATGAAAAATTCTGTGGCGTTAGTGAGGGGGAAAGAGCAGCACTAAAAGCGAACCTGGGGAAAGTTATATCAGGCTCAACGAGTTAGGTCAGGTCTCGCGATTTTACTTGTTGCTCATGAATGACACTTTTCCAAGGAGGAAAAGAGAAGAGATTGCGGTTTTCACTGACAGGCTCTTGGCTGAAACCCGGCGGTGAAGACGAGCTGCCAGGCGTGCGGGCTTGGGGTTGGTCTCGGCTGACCCCCGCGGCTACAGGGCGCTGGCAGGTTACTTAACCTCTCTGGGCCTCCGGTCCCTTCTCTGTACCCTGACGAGGAGAACGCGCACGGGCTCGCTGAAACTGAGTCGGCGCGTGCGGAGCTGCCGAGGCCGGTGCGGGCCGCGT